ATTTGAAAGCATAGGTAGTGACTGCTTTGGGGGCCCTGTTACATGTTTTCTTTAAATTTTGTTTCTTGTAATTGTTGAGAATACAACACAGTCACACACCACTTCAGCAGTTTGGACACGTCATGTTGCCACCTCTAGTCCAGATACACCACTCTCTCCTGATATCATCACATTTTCTCTCAGGGTCTTTATTCTAAATCCTTCAAAAAATATCACTTCGCCTGATGGAAATGAGTTGTCAAGGTAACTCATTACACAGGACACAGAAACTTACAGACAGATCTGGGTGTCATTTCAGGCCGGCGCTTGAGGCACTATTGGTGGAGGTCTCTCCCCAGCCCCTTGTCCCACTCACTGGGGTTGGTAAAACAGTAAAGGGGAGTTCTAGGCAAGTTTGCTCTGAAGCGTCCCTTCCATAAAGATGTAAGGACTCAAATTCGACTGCACAGCCGTCGAGTTTGTCCACCAAGTGGGTTGACGCCCAGTGAGACCTTAAGTCTTCACACATTTGTAGCTGAATCCTGACTGACGGAGGGTCTGCCGCACGTCCCTGCGGGGTCCCTTCTTCACGCTCTGGTGAGAGGCTGGCATATTTCAAGCTGATGCCAGGCTCCTTAAGAAGGGGTGAAGGGCAGAATCCGTCAGCGCGTCTCGCTGCTGGGACAGTGGGATGGCTTTGGAAGCAGTCTGTGGTGTGCAGCTCTGTCACTTGTGCCACGTTCTCTGCTGTGACATCGTTTGTCATGATGCCATGCAACTCTTTCCACCTGTGTCTCTGTCCCATCAACTGTGTGACATCACAGCCATCCATCCGCTGTCAAGGCTATCATATGCCCACGTTCCATTTCCTGTCTCTCAACCAAGTATTCGCACGGGAGGTGGAGCCAGCCGACGGGAACAGCTGGCTGTTGCAGAGTCAGCAGGAACGAGGCCTTCGTAGCACCGTGGCCTGGGCCACCGGGTTGGCCGTAACGTTGAGTGGAGGGCGGGGACGGGGGTCGGGAGAGAAAGAGCACCCAAGCTGGCCCTTGCATGGGAGGCCCGCGCCCTGGGCGAGCCGGGTTGAGAGATCTGCGTCTGTTTGTCTTTGGTTTCACTCATGTTCTGTGCTTTCTCTTTTGTTGTCTCGTCCAGCCTCCCGAGCCCACAACCTCACTGTGCTCTCTCCCCATAACTCCACCTTTGTGCATACCAATGACGCTGCCTACACTAACTCCTCCGCGACCGTAGGTGAGCGTCCGCACGCGGCTTCTGCGTCTGGTCCAGGTGGGATCTGCCGTGGTCTTCAAGGCCAGTCCGGTCAGGTTCTAGGTGAATCCATGCGGTCAAGGCTGACAAATGAGCAAGTGCCGCAGGGAGGTGGAAATCAGCTCACAGGGTTAAGTCTAGGGGTACCCCACACAGGCCGAGGACAAGGTGTGTCATCTGCCAAGTCCTGGGACATTCTGGGCCAGTGGCTTTCGGAGTGATCAGGCACAAGATGAGAGCTTGTCTAAAAAAAAAAGTGCCTGGAACTTTGAAAAAGGAATGGAATCCTTGAAAGGAAGAAAAAAAGGCCCTTTAAAGGAAAAATAAAAGTGAACTTAAAAAAACCCAACAAAAAAGGGGGGGAACAAAACCGTTAAAATGAGCATTTCTGCTGCAGCTGGCATTCTTTTTTACTTTTTTAATCATTAGAAGGTGTTTTATAAATGACACCCACAAGAATCACAGTCAACTTATTATCTTATTTAATACCTTTGAAGCCCATATTTTGTACTTTTCCCTACAGTTCAACTGAAAGGGATATTAGCCACGTGACCTGTGTTTATCTGATCTGACAATTCACATCTCCCCCTTTGGTCTTTTCCCAGTACAACCCAATTGCTCTTTTAGGTGTGGGCACTGGTTTCTAAGATCAATTTTTCTAATCAGCCAGTGTGGTCTGGGGTTTACACACCCTAACGTGGACGGGCACCTGCTAGTTACCAGTTTAACTTTGGCATCGATAGGCTTCCCAAGTACAAAAGGAGCTCAATGAAAGATGAGTTTAAAAATATCAAGGGGAACGGTGGCATCTGCCCTGAAGTTTGGCCCCCAGTCTGGCAGTGAGCATAGGACACAGGTCAGGTGAGTGGTCAGGCCCAAAGGCCCCAGGAGCCCATCCGTCCATCAGTGCACTTCAGCCAGAGGGAAAGGTGTCCCGAAGACTCTGACCCTGGCTAACGATAAGCTCCCAGTCCCACCTGGACCAATCCCACCTGGACTGTGCAGCGCTCACATCTCCGTCTGGAAACCAATGACCTCACACCCACAGTCAGATACGTTTGTTCCGGGAACTGGGCAGAACTGGAGGTGGACAGACATGGTGCCTCTCAGCCAGGACTGACTGCTTTGTTCCAGCGGGTTCCTGCGGCTGATACAAAACCTGACTCGCGGTTTCCCTCCTGTGGTCCGAAATCAGGTTCTTTGAAATTCATGGGTTCCCGTGGCTAGGATGAGGGGCTCTGTGACAGAGTTCAGCTGTAGTTTTATGTTCAAGCTCGCACTTAAACATTTTACATGGAAGCTGAGTGTGAGGATGGGGTGGGAGACAACCTCACAAAGTGTTGGTGCAATTAAAGTGTAGGATGGTCAGAGAAAATACTTGAGTCCCTCTCAGTAATGCAACTCCTGGCAGATTGAATCATCATAATAGTGTTGCTGTCTTTTCACACAGATAACGCGAATGTTCAATGCTTTTTTTGGCAACCATACCCCCCTCCTGTTTTCAGAAATGCACTGTGCTAATTCTTTTTACGTGTTCCTGTGAAAATTTTAGCATAGTGTGCTTACAAGAAGGCCTGAGGGAGGAAGGTCACAGATGGCAAAAAATATGCAACACACACGTTATTTGTGTAAAAATATGGTATACATACATACAGTTTATTAACTGAAATTAATAAAACAGTCACTGATGTGTAAATATATAATACTGCTACAGCGTGTAACCTTATAAATCAGTAACTACAAGGGTAACTAGTAATATATTCTGTAATACTATGCCCATAGCTTGTAAGTCTGACGTGTGCTTTAAATGTCTGATCTCGTAAGATGGTGAATGAATGGTTCTGTGATTTTTGTCACTTAGATATTGTAGAAGGGAAGGTCAACAAAGGCATTTACCTCAAGGAGGAGAAAGGGGTGACCCTGCTCTACTACGGAAGCTTCCAGAACTCGTGCATCAGCGACCCCACCCAGTGTGGCCCCGAGGGTGAGTGAGGCGGTCACCATGTGTCGGTTTTCCTGCATTCCACGTGCAGCAGCTTCTGCTCCTCTGGGCAGCGGCAGAGGGGAGTGTGCGGCTGGTGCAGACGGCAGAACGCAGGGGTGTTTCCGGTTTGAGTGTGAGGCCGGGGAGGGGATGCGGGCACCGACGGCCCAGCTGGCTTCACAGAGAATGGATGCGAGGGCTCGTGCGAGGCTGATGTCAGAACATCGCTGTGCTCACATCTGGGGCTGTAACTGAAACACCACAGGTGGATGACTTGAACGAACCGAACTTTATTCTCCCGCAGTTGAGGGTGCTTCCAGCCCAAATCCGGGGTGCCTGCCCTGGGGGGGGCTTTCTCCCTCTGTCTGCTCTGGGGAAGGTCCGTGTCTCCTTTCTGCGTCTGTGGGTCTGGCGTTCCTTGGGTGTTTGCATGTGTCTTGGCATCAGTCTCCCCCTGGGTCTAGGAGGTTCACAGCGCAGACACCCCAGGTCCAGAGGACACGCGTGGCTCCTGGCTCTTCTTTCTTGGTGGTGGTGGGTCCCTCTGCTCTCTGCTGTCTTGTTTAGTCTCTTTGATGCCTTGTAGAGGTAGAACCTGATCCCGTAGCCTGCATCCTGCCTCCTCAGCATCATAGAGAGGACTGGCAGCAGGTCACAGAGTCGGGGGTCACCACCTCAGACTGAGAACCCTGGCCCACCCAAGGTGACACGTTTTAGGGGACATGAGTCAATCCATAAAAATCATTTTACAGAGATATGACACCAGGATCTTTAATCCTTCAAAGGAATAAAAAACCAAGCCTCCGTAAGCAGGTGCGGTGCTGTCTGCCGGCGTGCCGTGGCGTTTGTGGGAGGAGACTGGTGGTGGGTGTGTCCAGGGAGATTCCTGGGCTGGGGCAGGCCTGGCTGGTTCACACTCGCGCCTGGTGTTTGCCTCTTTTATGCCCGTCGAGGGTGGCTGGGCCAGGGGAGAGTTGCTCTCGGCAGGGGCTGCAGGTCTGTGGCAAAAACACCACCGTGGAGAAGACACTGACTCACAGGACAGGCACTGGGGATTGGATTCACCCCTTTAGATGTGTATATGTGTGTGTGAGCGTGTGTGTGTGCGTGTGGGTAAGAGTATATGTGCGAGTGTGAGTGAGTGTGTGTGAGAGTTTGTGTGTTCGAGTGTGTGTGAGTATATATGAGTGTGAGCGTGTGTGTGGGCATGTGTGTGAGTGCACGTGGGTAAGAGTACATGTGTGAGTGTGAGTACGTGTGAGAGTTTGTGTGTGCAAGTGTATGTGAGTCTATGAGTGTGTGTGTGTGTATGAGTGCATGTGGGTAAGAGTATATATGTGTGTGTGAGAGTGTGTGTGAGTATATAGGAGTGCGTGAGTGTGTGTGTGAGTGTGTGTATGAGTGCATGTGGGTGAGAGTATATGTGCATGTGTGAGTGTGTGTGAGTTTGTGTGAGTGTGTGTGAGTATAGAGTGTGTGAGTGTATGTGTGAGTGTGTGTGTATGAGTGCATGTGGGTAAGATTATATGTGTGAGTGTGAGTTCGTGTGTGCAAGTGTGTGTGAGTATATATGACTGTGTGAGTGTATGAGTGCATGTGGGTAAGAGTATATGTGCGAGTGTGAGTGAGTGTGAGAGTGTGTGTATGAGTGTGTGAGAGTATGTATGAATGTGTGTACGTGTGTTTGAGTGTGTGAGTGTATGTGAATATGTATGTGTGTGCGAGCACATGAGTGCATGTGTGTGAGTGTGTGCTCACATGTGTATGAGCGCACACGTGAGTGCATGTGTGTGTGAGAGCATGTGTATGTGAGTGTGCACACGTGTGTGTGTGTGTGTGAAGAGTGGCTTGCGTTCTGGTCTCCAAGCTTCAGACAAGCACATCTGGGCCACAGTTAGCAGGTGGGGGCAGTTGTCCTCTGTCTCCCCGATGAGCCTCAAGACCCCTGGTTCCTTCAGGAAAACTGTTACTTCTCGGGGGGAAGAGGGAGTCGAGGTGCTTCAGTGGCAGAGGCCTTGACTTTTCTGTGAGAGACCAGCTGTTCTGGTTCCCAGTGCTGCTCTGACAGGAGTATACCACCAACGGGATGGCCTTAACAAACGGGCTTGTTCTCTTACAGTTCAGATGCTTTAAGTTCAAGTTCAAAGTGCTAGGCTCTAGGGGCTGCATGAAAGCCCCTCCACCTTGGGGTCCAGCTCTGCCTCCTGCTCCCAGCCCACTGGAGCTAGAGGCATTTCTTCACTCAGACAGCTGCTGGCTGCCGAGGCTGACAAGCCCA